TGTGTATGTTTTGTCCATCTGCTTTTATTTTCTCCGCAATTTACTTTATCACATTGCATACCGTCCAAAGGAAGAACTTGCACGTAACGTAAAACTTGCGCGTATGCATCTCATTTGCATCATTTCCCCATGATCCTTGATCTCATTCAAGTCGATCTTCTAAGTTTAGATCCTACCCTATAGGAAGGACCTTTATCTTTTACAACTTAGATACAAAACAAATCAACTCAAATCAAACGTCATTCAAACACATTAGAGAATAAGATGTTAATCATCTTAAGCGAGATAAAACTTCTATCCCATAACAATACAATCAATTTTCCTACAAAGTTGTGGTGGTTAAATCAAAGTAATCTCCCTTAAAATGACAACTCATCTTTTCTCCTAAAATCAATCAATCAACTACCTTATCCCGTAGGAACTTTGAGCACAGCCAAAGAACTCTTCGAACCCTTTAGAGGAACTACATATACTCTGATTCCACTCCCGTAAGGATATGTAGGCATAAGATGCAATATCTTATCGAGTATACTTAGAATTAAACCCCTAGGTCTTTTACCCGTTAAGCAGATAACCCTTAGCAATAAACAACATAAGACAAGAGGTTCCTGTAGATAACCAACCCCCGAACCTATAACTCTCTAGCTTGCATTTGCATTGCATTGTGGGAATTTCGATCTTTATCCATTCCTTTGGACAAATCAAAGTTCGGTTGCAAATGAATAAGATTCAAGTTAATCAATAGCTTGGTATCTAAATTTCACCGCGACAATACTTGTGTGTGTTTATGACTTTAAAAACCATTTTGTTGTTCAAATTAAAATGTATTTCTTGAAAATGATTGTTGTGACTTCTAAATGACACTTGAAGTAACAAAAGGCTTTAATGGTGAAAAAGGCTAAAAATCGAAATGTAAGTAAAGTAAAAGCGTGAAATTAAAATGCAAGATAAAATAACAGGATTTGTGAAGGCAATTTAGAGGTAATTTAATGCACAAAATGTACTTGAATGTAAAAATACTTAAAGTGTGTAAATGGTGGAACGCATATGTACATCTTTCCTGACTCGCTTCTCAACATGCAAATACTTTAAGTTTGCAGAAACGTGTAAAATTGCGGACCTCTTACATTGTGGACATGAGTCCCCTTATATAATACTCTAAAATAAATGCATAAAAACGGTTGACTAACCCTAGTGTGACACGTCTCAAATTCATGCAGCGGTTTTCTCTGACGAGCTCCCATGTGCTTCTAAATAACCGCATGTGTTAAATCAATTTCTACTCTTTAACACCATTATAATATCTTAACTACTTTTACTGGTCACCAGGAACTGACTAACCACGTCGAGGTCTTTGAAATCGACCATACTACGACAACACACTCTGTAGTACTTTCCATATGTAGTGTGCAATTCGACATTGTTTCCATTATAGTGATGAACTCCAACCTTAGCCAACATAGCATAGTATTCAATTTCACTAAGTCCCCAAGCTCTTTATCATGTCATTCGGCTCTACCATCTTCGACCAGTATCATTCTACGTGACCTCCGACCTCAAGTCATCCTAATTTGCATGTGACCCCATTCTGTTTTGACTTTCCACGTGGCATATTTATTGTTAATCTCATTAATACTTGCCACTTATAGCTAGGTCGAAAAATCCAAGGTAACAATGTGTATTACAATAATCTTCTTCTAATAGCTTAAAACCTTTAAAACAAAGTTTTCACCATGTTCATTTCCATCTACGTAATATAATTTTTTAAATTAAAAAGAAGAGATTTTAATTGTTTATTCAACCCCACCCCTTCTAGAAAAATTAACTCATATTCAAACAAACAAAATATTCCTTTATTTCACATCGAACATGAATTCTTACACAATTTCATCACTTTTAGGTGAATGTTATACCTCTGATATTGGTCGATTCAACAATTTCCAAAAATATTTAGCATGTTGTGATATACCTCCTCAACTTATCTAGAAAGTTAGACCAATAATAGGTCTCAAAAATTAACGAAATAGAAATTAAATTTTATTTGGTTGAATGGAATGAACATTGGTTGAATGGAATGAACACAAGGATGTACAATTGTGGAAGACATAAAAGAAAAAGCACACCAGAGTTATCTAACTCCTAACTCGAGCATGAAGATTCTAGATAATATTCTCATATATGAATGATAACTACTTTTTTGAATACATTACAAAATATCATTCTCTCTCTTTTATAATAAGAATTTCTCTAAAACTAATATAATATCACATCTAGTCTTACCACACATTCAACGCAACATCCTTATCTCAGTTACACTTACTTTATTCTCGTGTTGATTCTTAATCGCTCAATATTATGTCTCGTTAAACATCGTAGATCTCACTGATGTTCAATGAAAGTTTTCTTTCATATAGGATAATACTTTTGTATCACATAAAATTCTTGAGGCTCTAATCCATTTCAACCACGCAACTTAAATTTGATGGTTTACACCCCTTTCTATTTCTCCATCATTTTGTGTTATGTACCTAAAATATTTGAACTGTGTGACTTGTGATATGATATGATCTCCAACTTTCACCTCTAGGTTAGAAACAGTTCTCCTTTTGCTAACTTACATTCCATATATTATATATTACTTCTTTTTATAAAAAAATCATGCGTTTATAAGGCTCATCTCCAATTCTCCAACCTCACATTTAAATCCTCCTCCGACCCTTCAAGTATGACTATATCAACATCCATCTCAGTACTAGCTTTTTGATGTCTTTCGTGAGCACATCCAAAATCAAAGTAAAAAATATAGAGATTTAGGGTTGAACCTTGGTGAAACTCTATTGTAATGGATTATATATATATATATATATATAATCCATCAAAAATATTGGCCTCTTTTTTAGCTTTTTTTTTATACATTTCTCAAGTTTTAACATTTTTACACCTAAACTTTCTTTAAAACATTTTTGTTTGACTTTAACTTTACTCTCAACACTTTTATTCCACCACCACGATACTTTACCCTTATATCTAAAATATCTTGATTCTCTTAGGGTATGTTTGGATTGGTGGTATGGTATGGAACGAAATGGAGTGATAGCTAATGTGATTTCATTGGATGGGATGAAATGGAACATTATGGAACCTATTCCATCCAAACCCCCATTTTTGTTCCACCCAATTTAGAATATATATATATATATATATATATATATATATATATATATATATATATATATATATATATATATATATATATATATATATATATATATATATATATATATATATATATATATATATATATATATATATATATATATATATATATATATATATATATATATATATATATATATATATATATATATATATATATATATATATATATATATATATATATATATATATATATATATATATATATATATATATATATATATATATATATATATATATATATATATATATATATATATATATATATATATATATATATATATATATATATATATATATATATATATATATATATATATATATATATATATATATATATATATATATATATATATATATATATATATATATATATATATATATATATATATATATATATATATATATATATATATATATATATATATATATATATATATATATATATATATATATATATATATATATATATATATATATATATATATATATATATATATATATATATATATATATATATATATATATATATATATATATATATATATATATATATATATATATATATATATATATATATATATATATATATATATATATATATATATATATATATATATATATATATATATATATATATATATATATATATATATATATATATATATATATGTTGGAATGAGATATTTTTAATAAAATAACTAAACAATTGAGTGGATCTATATTTCATTCTGCTCCACTCTATTTCGTGTGGTTGTCTGAACCCTCCCTCCAAGATCTTCTCTTAACAACTCTCTTGTTTTTCACCCTTCAAATGCATTTGATCCGTGGAGCTCTCATGTGTCTTTTTCTCTTCGATATCCTCTTGACTCTTATATACATAAACAATACTCAATACTAGATAATCAATTCTCCTTCGATATAACTTAATAGTCTAAGCAAATCTTTCTATCTAACTTCCTAATAAAAAAGAATTTTATCTGAGAACATGTCACCCCACTCCTAAATGTGATAAAATGTGCATCTCTTTTCTTAAAGTAAGTATTAGCTATAGTAAGATCAAAAACAGACAAAAACTTAAAATGAATTTACCCTCCACACTTACCTTCCTAAGCTTGTACCCTTGTACAGACTCTCAAAATCACTTGTCACACTCCATACGTGTTCATTTAAATCTCGTCTTAAATAAATCTTCTCTCTTTTGAGTATATCCTAAAAAAAAAAAAATCTTCTCTCTTTGTGCTGCATGACAATACATGAACTGGTGCACTAGTGTTTTTTTTTTCTTTTCCGTCAGTATAATTTTTATTCATAGATTGATAGTCAAATTGAAACATTAGAGACAGGTATTGACTTCTGCACACACATCTCGATTACAATTGACCTCATCTGTTCATGGTAGTCCTGTCAATAGCATATCAAGAAACCAACCCAAGATATTTTTAGAACAGCTATTATGCAAGCAAAACACAGATTCATTATTTCATGTGTAAACTGTCATGCAAGCAAATGCAGAGGAACCTAACCAAACTTGCACAAGCAAGCTCATTCCAGTAAGTACAATAGCTTCCTTCATCATCATTATTTTCACTAATCTTTTATATAAGAAAAATAAATCATTCATATCATAGTTACATCACATTTATTAACCAAGATCTTTGTCCTCTACATTGCATGACAATGTCTTTTCTTTGAATTTCATTGGCAATCCTCCATGAACATGCTAGTCTTTGGTTTTTTCTTGATGGTGTATCTTGTCCTATCATGTCATGCGACTCAAGGAATCAAGAGGTTTGAAGCTGAGATCTGTAGATGTCGTTACCAGTAGTAGCCGGAGTTACCAGAGACAACCTGACAGAGAAGGAATACGGCACCGCAGGAACCAAATATTGGTTGTGAACACACGGAGACCAACTGTCATCTCCCCCCAACCCCATGTGCTTGTGATCCAGATGAACCTCAATGCTATCTCCTTTAACAAGCTCATAATCGTGTGCCGCCCGATCAAGTTCCGAAGTGCTATAGTAGCTTGCACTCATCTGCATGGGTGGAGAGTTACCATACTTTGAAGCATATATTCCGAAACCGTTTTTGTTTACAAATGTTGCCCATCTAACATCTGCTCTGCCACCACATTCACCAGGAACAATATAAGGAACATGCAACTCATCGATATTCTTCTCGTAAACTGCAACATTTGCAGCAGCCTTTCTGTCTGGATAACACTCGAACGGCCCTCTTCCATACCAACTTACTTGATCCAATGATTTTTCCAAGTTCATCTCGATTCCCACCCGTGGCAAAGGAGGAAGATTGGAATCCGGCTTCACGTTGAAATCCAAAATGACATCTCCAGAAGCATAAATAGTGTATGTCATTTCTGTTGTAAATAAAACCTTTGATTTCTCGCCCTTGGTAACACCATGGAAAACCACCAACACTTTAACCGCGTTTCCTGTCGTATTCTGTACAGAACAGCTCTCAGCGATAAAGTGGACACTGTCAATTCCAGCAGCTTTCCATTTGGACAAATAACTATCAGTTCCTCCTCCTTTATCATTATCGATAGAAGCTCGCCAGAAACACGGGTGTATGCCGTTATTCATAACTTGTACTCCTTTTACCTTCCAGCTTTCGATTAAACCTGTTTTAGTGTTCAATGTTATGTCCCAAACATCTTGCTGGCTTATTTTAATTATTTCTCCAACGGTTTCAACAACTGGAGCGCCACCGTGAATATCAATAGCCTGGAATAATTCATGAAATAGAAATTTAAAACGACGCAACATAAGCATATATATGAAAACAGGAAAATCGAAAATAAACGGGCCCTTACATGAGGAACAATGTCTCTCCTAGGAGGCAGTTGAACTTGAGCAGTGGAAACAATATGACCAGCTTCAACCCAGCGTGTCGAGTTCAAAAGCTTAGCAGTTATTGTCAAGAACAGTTCTTCTGATGACGATGAATTCCATAGAGTATACCATGGACCCGATTGCCAATCGACAGCATAACTGCCTTGAGACTTTATTGAGGGAAGACTCAACTTACCAGATCCAAGGTTGTATCCATCTGCAGAAATATACCAGGTGAACTCCAATCCTTCTGTTGTTTGAAAAAAATGAGTATTTTTTATCTGAAAAATCAAAACTAAAATGAATCATCAACTACATATTTGGCTTAGGAAACACGAAATTACAACGAACTATGAGTCGAGTACCTCTAATTTCCCTTCAGTGAAATTCACTTTGATCGGTTGGTATAAGTACTTGACTTCTGAAAAACAAAAAAAGCAAAACCATGACAAACCGATGAAAAAGGCGTTGAGCTTTATGCGACGGTGTGTGCTACAAAATGATACAATCTGTTAACTTACCATGTAAAACAGGATGAGCAGTTCGATCAGGCCATACAAGACCATTCAAACAAAAATTCAAATCATTAGGAATATCTCCGAATTCACCTCCATATGCCCAACGCTTTGTACCATCTGCGTGAACTTTCCGCAGAGCCTGTATGCAATCAAAATGGAAATAAGTCATTTTTCAAGCAATGTTGACCATTCATCAACTGGTTATTATAGTATTCAATGATCACTCACCTGATCAACCCAATCCCATATAAATCCTCCTTGGAGTCCGAATGTGTTGTCGATCGCTTCCCAATATATATGCAGGTTCCCATTGCTGTTTCCCATTGCATGTGAATACCTGTCAAACAAAAAGCTATAATTATCTATCATTGAAAAAATGATAAGGGAAGAGACGATTACAAGTCCTAATATCATTCGTGTGAAATTCAAGATCATACTCGCAGAGTATCAGAGGACGTGTTTCGGTAGGATCGTTGGCAATTTTCAACATGTCCCAAACACGCATATACATAGGGCACACGATATCAGTGCACGGAGTTCTTGATCCGCCTCCTTCATAATGTATCACCCGCGAAGAATCTCTTCCACGAATCCAACCTGATGCATTAGCAGACAGAAGCAAAAAAACATCAATCAATAAGATTTGTTAACGGTTCTTAAAATAAAAAATCGTGTAAATGAGAGTATCTATCTACCAGCCATAGCGAAATGATTTGTTCCGAATCCAGATTCGTTCCCTAAAGACCAGGAAATAATGCACGTGTGGTTTTTATCCCTCTCGACCATGCCAATCACACGGTCCAACATTGCAGTTGCCCATACTGGTTCCAAAGTAGGATGCTTGAGATGTTTCGAATAATCGAAACCATGTGTCTCGATATTGGCTTCATCTATCATGTACATGCCAAACAGATCACATAACTCGTACCAACGCGGATGTTGAGGATAATGGCTGTTCCGCACGGCATTAATATTGTTTTGCTTCATTAAGACCAAGTCCTTGACCATGCAGGCTTCTATGTTTGCCTTTCCAACTTCGGGATGATGTTCATGTCTGTTCACGCCTCGTATTACAACGGGATGTCCGTTAACGAGGAGTTGTTTGTGGGCTTTAGATACAGTTTTAAAGCCTACTTGAGATGACTCGCAGTCAAGCACACGGCCGGATTTATCTTTGAGGACAACAACTAATGTATAGAGGTACGGCTGGCGCAAATCCAAACAAAAGAAAATATCATACGTAATATGACACAAAATCAGCAAGATAATGTAAACATCAGACACAAAATCAGCAAGATAATGTAAACATCAGACACAAAATACCTGTTCTGCTGACCACAGCTTTGGTGATTGCAGTTTTCCCACGAGCGTATAACCGTAAAACCCTAACGGCGCAGTTGTTGGTTGGAATGTTATGTCTGCTACATTTGTCGAAAGTAGATCAGGATTCCCGTCGGAGGATTCCCAGCTTCCGGAATCAAACAGTGTAGCTTCTATGGTGTAGTTTGTAAGAACATTGTCTTTTGATGTATCTTGTAATCTATCGATTTTAACTTCAACCTGTATAATGTATACATGAGTTTGATACTATCAGATTTCACAAACAACAATTACAATAACAAGAGCATTTTCGTAAAATATTTATGCTTACCAGCATCTCTGCGTAAGAAAAATCTTCAGCGAGGTTTGATTTGAAGAAATAGTCTGTGATAAATACCTATATGCGAAATAAACGTCGGTGGTTCTTTGAGAATATGAATTTAACTTACTATGATGAGTAGAAATTTAGAGAAAACAAACCTCTGGCTTTGCGAGAAGAAGAACATCACGGTGGATGCCAGATAAACGCCAGTGATCCTGATCCTCTAGGTAACACCCGTCACTCCATCTAAACACTTGAACGGCCAGAACATTCTTCAAGTCTGAACCACATGGATGACAAAAATCGGTGACTTCAAACTCCGCAGGTAGCCTGCTGTCTTGACTGTCCTTGCAAAATGATAATATTTTTTGTTATAAAACCAACAAGTCGATTGATTTAGAAGCTTCATTCATAGTATATTCATTCTTCAACAAAATCATGTAATAAGCCCTTGTGAGAATGTACGAGAGAGCTTATGAAAACAACTTATGTGAAGTCCATAACCAGTAACTACATCACCAGGTCTGTGAATGCACATTGTATACCAAAGAGAGCGAAAGAGTTATACCTATATCCTATAGGATGCCCGTTTATCCATGCACAAAAGGCCGAATCAACTGCTTCAAAATGTAACAAAATTCTTCTACCTATTGCAATCCAACCAATGTTATTAATACGCAACTTAAAAAAACCTAGGAGAATATCTATAAACAAAAAGACGAACGAAACTAACAATGCTACAAGAATTGAATCATACCTTCCCATTCTTTAGGAAGTTGGAAGTCCATTCTGTAGCAGCCAGTAGGATTTTCCGAAGGAACAAAGGGAGGATCAAGCGGAAACGGATACGTTACATTCGTATATATAGGACGGTCGAATCCATGGAGTTGCCAATTCGAAGGAACTGTCCAATTTTAAGGACAACAATTAGACATATACGACATAAATCAATTCAAATACACTAAATAGAGTATCGTCGAACAACGGCGATTTAAATTTCGCTACGCTATCGCGTGGCTAAGGCCTCTATCTGCAAAACACATGAACTTACCAGGTAAAGTATTCCATTCTGAATCCTGAAACTCATTTTCATGAAACTTAGTAGGGACATTGCTGGGATTAGAAGCCAAGTAAAATTTCCAATATCCAGACAAAGATTTAACAAAAGGCAAGTCTTTGACCCAAAAAGCAGCACTCTCAAGAGCTCCATTAACAGCATCATCTTTCCAAACAGCAGATTGAGAAGCCAGAAAATCCACTTTGCTGCGTTGATACCAATATTTCAGAGATCCTACCCATATCACAAAACTCCATATTATTAAGAAAGAATCAAACTTTATGAAACATAATTCAAATAGAGTTTTATGATTAAAAAAATAAAAATAAAAGATAATTTTCCATCAAATTTGATATACCATTTTGAATAAACCTATATTAAATCAAACCCAAAACATGATAAATAAATAAAAAAGTAACTTTAAGATGCAAAAGAGAAGTGTGACCTTCAATGGATTCATGGCAATGTAAATGAACATGAGGGTCTCTTTTTCTCCATTTGATGAATGATGGGTCTTCCCAGACTTTATAGCCATTGTGTGGAGAAAGAAGGAGTGTACTAACCAAAGAAGTGGAAGAAGAAGGAGAAGCCATGATTTGTAAAGTAATGAGTTTTGGAATAAAAGGGAAGATTAAGAAGATGGTGTTTGGTTTTCTGATTTGAGGATCAGTCAAAGGTTGTTGTATTGTAGTGTTACATTTGTTGGTGATCAGAGCCAATGGAAGTGTTACATTTGTTGTCGTTTAATGGTTTCTAGTAATGGTGGTGTTCATGGTTTTTTGGTGAGTGGATACGTTTATTTATTTTGAATATCGTACGACTCGTCGTTTTGGGAATTGGAAGTTTTTAATTTATTTTATTTTTTTGTTGGGTGGAGACCATTTTTATTAACAGAGATATATATAAAGATAAAACAAGCTGTTTTGATATAGTTGATTTTTCTATTAATTTTATATTTTAACATATAATTTATATAATAACTTTTTATCTAATTTTTTTACCTAATATTAAACAAAAAATAACATTTCACATAGATTAAAAAAAACTCTATAAATAAAAGAGAAAAGAATAGTGTCAAAAATGAGTATTAAAAATAATTAAAGTAGTACTAATTAAAATGTAAAATTAAAAAAAAGTAATTAATATTAAATTGAAAATTGAACTGATCATTTATTTTAGGGTAATTTTATTTTCTAAATGAATTATTCAGCGTGAGATAAAGGAAGTGTATGAAAGTTATATATATCTCTTGCATTCTATTATTTTCTACCTTTTTATAAATAATTAAAATTAAATAAAAAGTATTATTTTCATCTTTACGTGTGTGTTAAAAAAATGATAAACGGAAATAGATGCTAGTTTAAATTTAAATGGAATATCAGAATAAATCTAGATGTTGAAATCGAATTGAGCAAAAGGGAGGGAAAACGTTGTTCTGACAAATGCACTCTCTCGACTTATATGTTTGGTGATTCAAATTTTAGTTATTGTTGTTAGACGATAAACTTCGATTTAGAGGGGATGAATAGATCACAAATTTAAAAATAAAAATTTTTGCAAAAATAGATTTTCAAAAGTTTTATGACACAGCGAAAACAACCCGAATCAAATCGTCCAACCGAACCTACTATAAAAAAGCTCAGATATGCGTAATATAAAACTATGGAATGATAATGAACACAAATTGTGTTAGACAACGGCTTGTCTATAGGGGGTGAATAGACACCCAAGGCAAAATCACCAAATAAAATTTGGGTTTTAAAGTTATTAGATAAAAAGTGCACGCGGAAGGTTTTGGTGTGGATCGACAAAAGTCATATACACGAACCTAATTATTGGAACTCGGATATGCAAAGTCAATTATGGAATGACAAACACAATAATCGAATTTAACCTTTAATCGAGTTTCACGTTATTAATCATTTAAACTAATTACTTAGTAATGTTATTTCCAATGATAATAAGCAGAAAATATTAAACTAAGAAATTTATCAAACACTTATGCGAACGAATTTTCAAAATTTCCTTTTTGTTGTTGTAGATATGAAGACCACTTATAATCAAAAGTGATTATAAGCTAATCAACAACCAAGTTAAAATAGAAAGATCACAGGAAAATTCTTACGAGTCGATCGATTAATCAATGTTATTTGACAAATTAGGTAATGAAAAATAAAGCGAGTAAAGAGATAATATAGAGATCGACACGAGGATTTGTTCACGCAGTTCCCTACTTTCGTCCTCGCATGTGGGTACGTTTGCGCCTAATTTCCAATGTGGAATTGAGATACTTTCTTACTATGCAAAAAGTCGATATATAAGAAAAGTGTTCAGAGCAACCATACAAACATAACCGGTTATGATGTTGATTCAACCTTTTTCCTTCTTTTGATCTTAAGTAAGACCAAGACAACAATGGATGTCAATTGACTTGTCGATATTGCTACTCCTTTGTGTTCTTTATCTTCATAGCTTTCGCGCATGATCAATTGTACCGTGTTGTTGTGAGAATCAGATATCAAGCTATTGAATGAACTTGAATCGCAAATCTTTGAATTCATAATCGATCTTTGATTTATCCGAAGGAAAGGTTAAAGAAAGAAAAACCTAAATTTGCATCGTAAACACACTGCGGGGAGATCTAGGGTTCGGGGATTGGTTATATCTAGGGAAGGTGTTAGCATCCTAAGCATTTGCAGTACTCTACAGAAACCTCTTTTTCACTATGTTATTTGCTAAAGGGTTAAAGGTAAAAAGAGAGACCTAAGGGGTTAGTCCTAAGTATACTCGCCAAGAAATCGCATCTTGTGCCTACGTATCCTGACGGGAATAGAATCAGAGTATTCGTAGTTCCCCTTAACGAGGGTGAGAAACTCTTCACTATGGTCAAGGTTCCAAGGGAGAAGTAAGTGTTCATAGTGAGACACTTACATGGAGTACGACGAATCCAAGTCTAAGTTGAGTGTTGAAAAGTATGTAAGTATCCATGGCAGGAACATATGTGGAGTACAACAACTCCGATCCTAAGGCTAGGATGAAAGAATGTCCATGGCAGGACGTTATGTGGAGTGCGGCGACTCCGATCCTAAGGCTATGATAAGGGTAAGATAAAGTTAAGGGATTGACATGGCAGTCAATACGAGGGAATCCTTTCCTTTGAAATCGTGGTATTCTATCTTAATGTTGTAATGCTAAGGGTCAAAACCTAAGATAAGCTCCGATTCAAAACAAAACAAAAAATTGAATCAAGACTCGGGGAGGCATGTGGATTAATAAGTCAGTAAAGAATGCAAAGGTATACATCAAGCTCCTGGTACAAAATATTAGCAAAGATACTTTAAGATTGTATCTAATAAGGATAAATTACTTATAAAAAACAAATAAGACCTAATCGAAGATAACCAAAATTTAATCCATAAACTCAAAAATCAATCAAACCGCAAGTTCAAAGTAAGTAGAGGTCTCAAATTTAAAACTTCCATTACTCAAACTAATAAGGCAAAATCTAGTAAAAGAAACTTTAATATTTTAACAAAAGTAGTTTAAAATAAGATAAAAAAAAAACTTATTTTTATTGTTTATTTATTATTTTATTTTTTTAAAAAAGAGATGGGTTAGGTCCAACTAATCACCAAGAAAAAAAAATGGTACATAAATGTAAATTAAAAAAAAAATAAAAATAAAAGAGAATGAAACTTGGGTCGGTCATCACATCCAACCTAAGCCCCAATTATATCAATCTAAACCAAAAAGAAAAGTCTAAGAACCTTAATTTCTCTCTCGGCTTCCAAATCCTTCCTCTTTCTCTCCCACAGTCACCCCCATCAGTTGATCTTCTTCTTCTCACGAGTCTCCTCCGTGTCACGTTTTCCATCCTCGATCTCGCTCACCCTCTTCAATGCGTGACCATTGATAACGCGAAATCATATATATATATATATATATATATATATATATATATATATATATATATATATATATATATATATATATATATATATATATATATATATATATATATATATATATATATATATATATATATATATATATATATATATATATATATATATATATATATATATATATATATATATATATATATATAATGATGTACTTTTCTACTAATCGGCGACCGCTTTCACTCCGATTTCGGATATTTCCATACTATTTGCCCAGTATTTTGCAGGTATTCAAAGTCCATGCTCAAATGGAGCAAGATAAAGAAAAGAATCATTTACAGGTGAAAACCAAGTGAAAATCAGGCCAAAAAGCAGCAAAAACGAGTTCTGCTGATATGACGACCGTCACAAGGGTGTGACGACCATCATGCGTGTGACGACCGTCACAGGTCCATGACGACCGTCATGGAATTAAAATGCAGTTTTTCTGCACGTGCTGTCAAGAGATGAAAGTGCCAAAGAGGAGTGGACCACTAACTCCTATATTTTCTGATATCATTCCCACTTCCCGAAGAAATAAACTGTTGAATATCCCATCTGTAAAAGGAGGTAGCTGGTACTAGAAAAAAGGAGTCGCATTGAAGAGACGAAGTGCTGCCAATTTACTTTCTGAGCAATTTTCAGTTTCCAATTTTTCTTATCGTTATTTTTTTCCTTTTTCTTTCCTTCCTTGCAATTGTTGTTTTACTTTCTCATTTCTATTCTGTACGAGTAATTGGCATAAAGACTAAATCCTGCCGCCATTTTGGAGGATTTCCCCAAAAGCCAAATCGAATTATTTACAGGTTTCTATTTTAATCGATTATTGATTGTTATTTCCCATTATAATGCATATTATTATTTTCTGCCATTATTTACGTGTTGTTAATTTAAATTCCATGTCTGGCTAAATCTTAAGTAATCGGTATGTAATAAATAATCTGATGGGATTCGATAATTAACCGGTGTATATCTACCTTTTTCAAAACTTATTTATGGCTTAAGTTTTTAAATCGACTTTTCTAAATAAACCTTCGTCGCGACAGCGAGAAATTATTTACAGTAGTTTTGCCACGACAGTGGGAAATTCATAAAGGTATGAACCAACAAGCGACAACTGAGGCTAAGACCAGATAGTAAAAACTAGGCATTCATTTTAAAAACAGCGACAGCGCTTTAAAAGGAATTAGAACTTAATAGTTTTCAAAAAGTAACTTTAACCCCAAACGGGATAGCGACAACATACGTTCCGCCTTAGAGTTGCGACTAGCGTCAACAACCATCGTGAGACAAAGGTCTTTAAACCATCATTTTCTTCTTAAACTATTTTTGAAAACCTAAAGACACCGGTGACCTATAGAATCCCTGAAGAAGTAACATATTACATACTGATTCAAGCATTTATACCTTAAGTAAAAGTTTTAGTTCCCTTTAGTTTACGCACTTATTTCGTTACTATTCCCCTAAAATATTACCAACCTAGCTAAACACAGTAACACCCGAAAATACTAGTTTGATTACGAGTCCCTGTGGGATTGATATCTATTATTACTACGCGATAGACTGTGCACTTGCAGTTAATTGAGTTAGACATAGAAAGTAGCGATCAACCATTCTTCCGTCGGTGTCGCATCATACAAGGCTTTGTGTTC